CTTCTCTTGCTCATCAAGTCTTTTCTCTTGCTCTTTGAGGCTTTTGCTGCGCTCCTTCTGTGTGGCCAACATGTCATTGACCCTGGTAAGCTCCTGGGGTTGATTGAAGAAGGAATCCGCACGGGTACGCCATGAGTTGCACCCAACAAATGTCTCACCGACACAGAAACGTAAGAGTCTCTGATCATGTTGAGGAAACATCAAATCATGTAATCTAGTGGCTGATGTAACTGCGTCCATCATTGAACTGGAGAAATCGAAGGCGCAGCGCCCAAACACTTCCCCAGTCATAGTGCCAACCTCGAGTTCATTCTCGACTTTCCTCAGGATCAAAACCCTCTGACTCACCTGATCGTGAAAACCATAGTTCTCAGGTGGCAGTGAGACAAGGATAGTAGCGCCACCCTTGGTCACAAAGACCCGGTGCTTTTGGTAGTGGTTCACCACCAGGTGTGCTGGAGAAGAAGATCCGCCAAGAGATTGCAAGTTCAAATGGATCCTTGGATTAAAATCGACAATTTCAGAAGGTGGCCTGGGAAGCCCGCTGTTGTACCAACAAACAGCCTCTCAGGCCACCTTGGAAACAATGGACACTTGCATGTATACATTATTAGGGATGATGACAACAAAAGCATTGCAGGTGACCCTGGTGCAATGTCAAAATATATACTTGGCTCCAGCCTACAACAGCCCACACCAACCAAAGCAAAACACACAAGCACATGTCCAAGCATCGTTGTTGCCCCGAATCGAAGGCGGAGCACCTGACCTTTGGGTAAGGGGCCAATCCAATCACACATATTTCCGTCCTCGAAGGTGGCTTCTGGGAAGTGCCACACGGCCATAGTGCGGTGCGGGTACGGGGTCTTTGCCGTGGAGCGGTGGGCGCACGCGCATCACAAAGTGGCTGTTATCTTGAGTTGACATGGGTATTATTTTCACAGTGTCTCGCACGAAAGGCTGATTTTCAAGCTTCCGGAAACGTAGAGTCGAATAACCAGAAGAGCATACGCAGTGGAATGTACAGCAAAGAAAAGTCATGAACATGCCATTGTTCGTGTGATGCCGCCTGCGGCCGTTCCTTCTTGAGGTTTCTCTCCACGCAGCGAGATCGTGTCAACATGTAGTCTCACCCTTTCGACGCTTCCGCGCCCGCCTCGTGCGGCCATGCACACGACCCTTGCTATAGTAGTTTGAGGAAGAGGAAGAAGAGCGCTTTGTAGGGCTTATTAGGGCTGTGACAAACAAAAATCCAACATGCAGGCACACTAGGCAGCACATGGTCCTAAACTGTGTGTAGAATAGACATCGGGTTCAATTTGATTGGCGCAGCGGAGGAGATAACGCTCTCCAACAATGGCACTGAGTCTGCGGTGGTTGCAGTTAGTGGAGACAATCACAAGGTGCTTGTGGCAGTCCTGGGCCCATGCAACATAGATGCCGTTCGCCAAGATTGCGACAGGCGCTTGCCAGCTTCCATGATGCCATCTCTTTTTTTGCGAGTTGGCCAACTGCCAAGGCTGGCGAATCAGAAAGCCGACCTCAGAGCCATCGAGCAGTTGGCGGCTGAGGAATTACAAAAATCCATTTCCGGAACTTCCGGAGAGGAAGTACAGCTCACAGTTGACTCGCTTGGAATGATGCGACGTCTCACAAAAGCCCATGTGAAGGAAATGCAGTGGGTGCAGAACCAGCAAGCCGCTTGGCATCTCAGCCTTCGACATCTTGGACCTTCTGACACACGAACATTCTACTGTACTGTAAGTTTCACGTGTGAGGACGCACTTTTTCCTTACAGAACTTTCAGGTTGACATGTTGTCAACTTAGACCAATTCCTTGTGTTTTTTGACAAAATTTATTTGAGCCGGCATAGTTCTATATTTTTCAAGTGTGTCCTTGAAACTGAGTGTGGCCAAGAGGCCTCAGATTCTGAGTCACTTTGCTCAGATTGAAAGCGCAAGGCCTTCTGGATGCTGATCAGCATGCTGGGGCACTTTCAACTCTTCGAGGGCGCGCATGGCGGCGATGTGGCCCAACGCATCCAGAACAGCTTCGTCCACAACAAGGACCGTTGAGGATCGTGGTATGGCCAGTGCCCAAACATGGCAATTGCTAGGCGTTGCTGGGTGGCCAAAAACGCGTTCCATAGCCGGTTTTTTCTTCTTTTTCTGGGTTCGCGTTCCGGTCCCCGACCATTCCCGTCAGCTTCGATGGGCGTCGAGGACATGGTGGCCTTCATGATGTTGCTGGGTGTGACCGACAGCCGCGAGCCGCTGTCGAAGCTGGGAGCCAGAGACCTCCTAGTGTTTTGCGTGGCGCTGTCGATGACAGCACTAGGACCGTGGGTACTGTCCCCTGCTTACTGGCCCTTGCATCAAGTCTTCTTCTCCTTCAACTCTTTATCTTTGCCGCCGTACAATCTGCCGCGGCTGCGGGTGAGGCATGACTGGTTCCTCTACCACTACTTTTTCGCACGCCTTTGCCTGGTTGGCTTCACAAAAGTGTCAGCGAAATACCGGTTGAATTGCTTTGCTGGTGCTTGGCAGGCTGTGCTTGTGCTGTGCATGGCATGCTTGGTTCCAGATGATGTCCTGTGGCTTTGGGTCCCTTTGCCATACCGGAGGTCGCTGTGGATCCGCAGTATAGCTATTATGATGAAAGGTGTGAGGATGAGCTGCTTCTTTCTCACTGGCTGCTACCTTCTTGCCTTCCACACCACGAAAGCAATGAGATGTAACGAAAGCGACAGCAGCTGTCAGGCGAGCTCGTTATTTTCTCGCCTCCGCCTCCTGCGCGATGCCGTGGCACGTTCCACGACACTCTCTGTGGCGGTCGGTGCTGGAGCTTTCACCGTGTTTCTGGTGATTTCAGTGTTAACCTCCCCGGTGCCACTTGGAGATTTTGGCTACCAGCATGGCTGGAAGGCCATCTATGTTGAAGGCGAAAATGTCTACACAGCCAGCCACTCAGTGTCCTGGCACTACATGACTCATCCATCATTGTTCTTGTACATTGTGCTGTGGTTTGGAGAGATGCTGCTGCTGGTCGTGCCCTTCTTAGCTGTTGCCTTAATGATGGCCTGCTGCCCCTGGCACTTCAAAAGGATGGGATCGACTTGTTTTGGGACTTATGTGCTACATCCATACCACATGATAGCGCCCTGGACTGCATGGTTTCAGAGACCTATACTTTCCCGCATCACCTTTGACAGCTTCGGCTCCGGTAATGTGCTTATTGTCCTTCTTTGGAACGTGTTTTTCTGCATTCTGTTTCTCAGCTGCATGAAAGGCTGGATCAAGAGAGAGGCATTCCACGCTGACAGGCTCCACCAGCAATGTTCTGCATGTGCACTTGCATGTTCATGCACAGTGGGTCGCAGGCGCACATGAATTGGGCTTTTCGCAACATTTTTCGCAATGACTGAGGTTTGCGCAGACAGTTGGCGCTTGTTTCCACAACGTACTTATAGCTGGCTTCCAGAAGCTCTTTCAACTAGGGAAGCGCAGAGGCAATCCCCAAGGCAATGATGCTTGGGTAGGCAATTATGGCCCAAAAGGTGTATGAACATTGATTGAGAGTGTCGTGGACATTGAAGGGAGTCGTGCCACCAAAACAGCGCGATCCAGACGCGTCCCTGGGCGATGTGCGATCCGGTGAGCCGGCCTTTTCTGACCTTCCGTTGCCTTTTTGATCCTTTTTGCTTCTTGTTTGCCTCACATTTTTGCATCATGTTCTTTCTTTCTGTGTTCGCTTGTATACTCAAAAACTCACAGAGCGATCACGGAACAATTCATAGGGTTTCAAATCTGCATGGCATGCATAAGAGATCTCTCATGAAAGCCCGCCATTGTGTTTTTTTCGCAGCACGGCTTTGGCTCAAGCTGGGGGAACCCCGACGCGATGGTCCTTCCAGAAGGATTCCGTGACTCAGCTTGAGCAGGACGGTCCTCTCACACCTCTCAGCTTACCTGTTAGTCCAACTTTTGCAAGCGAAGAGAGAGAGAGAGAGAGAGAGAAGGGATTGTCAAGTCGTGTTTTGGCGAGGATTTCGATATGGAACTTGAGACTTGCTTGGTGGAAGTGCCAACCTTCTTGCAGATCTCTTCGAGTTTGTCGCCCCACGTCTCCCCCCATGCCTCCGATGCGGGGCAAATCCTGGATGTCCGACCGAGCAAAGCCTTCAAGGTTCTGTCTCAGATTGCCTTGGTGCAAGTCATTGCCGCCCTGGCCATTGTTCTCGCCGGCTTTGCAATCTCTGGCGTCCCTACATCTTCCAGGGCCAAGCACTCTGGCGACGGCATCTCTTGGCCAATGAAGGTTGTTCTTGCGGGCACTTTGCTTGTGGATTACACCTGCACTGACCAATACCAGCCAAGCATGCCAGCCATGGCGCGCGAGTTTGGTGTATCACAAACACTTATGGGCTCCACGATACAGCTGCATGTATTCAGCAGCTCTATTAGCCTTCTGTTTGCAGGGCCCATTTCAGACCGCATTGGCCGACGGCCTGTAGTTCTGTTTCTTCAAGTGGTTTTGGCCATCAGCACCTTCTCTTGTGGCTGCGCTGATTCGTTCAAATGGTTTGCAGCAGGACGTGCTCTTCAAGGTGTGGCAGCATCTGTGGGGAGCGTCGTCCTTGCAGTCACCCAAGATGCTTACGACGATTCAGCTCAGAGGATGCAAACGACCAGCATGCTAGTCACTTGCAAAAGAAGCAAACAAGCAAGCAAGTGAAGCTATATACAAGCAAGTGTTTGCTATAGCCTTAGCTTCCTTGGGGAAGGCATAGTCACAATGTGTAGAAATCACTTTTCTTTTTGAACATAGTCAAGAATTGTGTAGAATTCGGGTGATATGTTTCATCTATTCCAGCACTGTTGGTTTCAGTCAGTTTCTTCGAGAGAAGGTCATGTCAGTCAACTGCAGTGTGCGCGCAACCATAACTGCCACACATTGACGAGGATTTTGCATGGGCTGCACTTAGAAAGATGAACCGCCAAACTGTTTTCTGTCGGATTTTCACATGCTCTAAAGCGGGACTGTTTCGGTCTACTGAGGTATCCATCATAGTGCTTGGTCCCCTTGTGGCTCCTACAGTTGGTGGTTTGCTGGCGGCTGCTTTTGGCTGGAGGCGGTGTCCAAGTAATATCTAAGATTGTCGAAGTGTAGTTTCGGCATTGCGAAGATAAACGCATAAAAAGAAGAGAGGGTTGCGCATGCGGCCACAGCAAGTTTCACCCCTGAAAAAGGCGTTAGATCGATTCCTGCCGGGTACCTATAAATCTGGGACTAGCGCATCCCAAAAAGACTACAGACTCCCTCACTTCGAAGTCATCCGCAGGTTTCCATTCTTTGCCTTGTCATTTCTCGCTGTGGTGGCTTTCCTGACGAGCTTGATGGTCGTTGAAGAGACAGCAGGCCCAGCGCAGGAAACAGCTTATTTGGCCTCTGCCATTCGAACATTATCCGACGCGCGCAGGCTACGAATTCTGGCATGCTGCGCTGTTGGGAAAAGTGTGTTTGACATTATGACGGCCAGTAACGGCTTCATTTTGGAGGATTCGTACCAGCTGCCGCTTGCGCGCACAGCAGTGATTCAATCCGCCATGGCTTCGTCAGGTTTGGTGGGCAGTACGTTGGCCAGCCATTTACCTTGGAAACCACTTGATGTCATGTCATTTTTCTCGCCCATCTTGGCATTTTCAGCAGCATGCATGGCACTAGTAGGGCTGCTGTTTGACCAGTACCTGGTCCTCTACATGTTCATCATATGCGCCAATGAGGTGTTGATTTACCCGCCTTTGATGTCGATGACAGTTGAATTTGGGCAGGATCTAAGAGACATAGCTGGCTTGGCGTCAAGTGTGCTAACATCAGGCATGAATTTGTTCAGCTTGGGGTTATCACTTCCGGCCGTTGCAATTGCCACCTATGGCCCTGCTGCGCTGCTTTATGTGATGGCCGCCATCATTTTGACCATGCCCTTCATCATGGTATTTGGCATCCTCCCCCCTAGCGGCCCTAGCGACCTGAAGGAAGAAGAGTTCGTGCATGGGAATGAAGAGCAAGCAAATGAGGAACTTGGCGAGGAGAAGGAGAAGAAGACGTGCGGGTGAGCGTGCTCTGAAGCTTAGCGACGCCAGAAAAAAGAGTGTTGTGCTAAGGTATAGTCGCATTCACGCAAGCAACAACGACAAGAAAGAGTGGTCGCAAGGAATGGAATACACCTCTTCACCCCAAGGGTTCGAGCGCAAAGGAGAGGTTTAACGATAACAGTACGGGCTGTTTTCATCGTGGTTGGAGCCGGCGCGCACAGCGCAAAAGTTGCCTCAGCGATCTTGAAGATGCTTGGAAGGGTGCTCCGTCAACAGGCGCACTTGTTGAGGTGCCCCACTCATTTTCGAAGCGAAGTGCACATTTTTTGGGCAGGGGCAGTGGATTCGCCGCATTCTGGGGTCGAAACATTGTTTTGTCTGGTTCTCAAAAACGTGGCAAGGGCAATGAATCGTGCGCATTGCAAATTCGTTGGCAGGCGCAATGAATTTGAGAATGGCAGATTTTGTGGCAGGCACAGTACTTTAGAGCGCTCGACGAACAAGTGTTCAAAACAAGCTAAAAGCTTGCTTTTTGATGTTTTTTTTTACGAAAGCCAGCCGATAGGCTAGGCCAGTTGTCGATGGGCGAACGAACCCGCCGGGTAGGTTGAACCCAGATCCTGATGGGGGAGAGCGAAAAAAGAGAAGCGGTCAGGAAGGTAGTGAAAGTGTATGTTTTAGGGGTTTTGGTGATGCGAGTGATGCAAATGACGCTGAACAGTGCATCATTAGCATCACGAAGTGCTCAGGAGATTATTTATAGACTGTCTATTGACTAGGGGTGGGGTGACTCACGAAGTGCTCAGGACCCACACTGAGGGAGCTTCGTGCAAGTCAGAATCCCTGCCATTAGGGGTGCCCTTTTTCGGCATGCCAACAGCTTTGAGCGAAGAGAAAAAGTTGCCTTCTATTTCCATGTGCCTAACAGCAGTGGAAGTCAGTGCAATGAGGAATCTTTGCTCGATATAATGCAATCACGTGATCTTGCCAGTAAACTTTCATCGGTCCACTCTTAGGAGCACGCGGAGGTTATGAGTCCAGGCACAAGACAGGAGAAACAAACAGCAGGCAAACAAAACGCTCTGAACCACAAGAAAAAGGGCACCCCCCTCAACCCGTAAATGTCCCCCTCAATTTAACCTTTGTCCTTGCGGACTGTAATTGTCCTGCTCAACTCAACCTTTCTCCTAACGCGTGGGCTCCACTTCTATCCTATAACCGCTAACATGATCAAGAGCCTATCATATCGAGCCTCAATGCGAGACTTTGCGCCTCTCTGCCTTCTATTTCCCGATGCCTGACAGCAGTTGAAGCGCGCTGTCGAATTCACGCCATAACCACACTGATGTGTTCTCACGGAGGCAGGCTTTCGTCCCGTCCTTTCTCAGGTTTCATAAGTGGCAATTTTCAAAAATGTTCGCAACGCTTTGCAGCTTTGGTGCGTGTCGAACCGAGTGTCCGAAACTGAGATAACATTGCAGTTTTCAATGCGCGTTCACCAGTCCCTTCGTTGAGTTGAGTGTCTCGGAAGCTCCAAAATCTTCGCCCACGCACTGCGCTTTTGGTCTTGACAGGAAGGCTCCTCTCAGCAATCCACCTCTCACCAGCACTTGCCAACGCACCGCATTTTAAGCTTCGACGGAGTGTGGTTGCAAAGATTTCAGCATGTGGTTGTGAACCTGCTCCGTGAATTATCCAATGGCTTTGGATGTGCATGTAGCGAACACTTTGATTACATTTTCTTGACAGTAATTCTTGTTGTGAAACAAAACACTTCTCACGCGCTGCGGCTACAAGCTTCAAGGGTCGAACCTTCATGTTTTTCAGCAAACATTGGGGCCCCTCGTGATGCCGAACAGCGTGCCACCCTTTGCATTATTGTGGTTGCTTTGAAAAACGAATTGCTGCAAAACATTGAAACAACCTTGAGACTGAGAATCCACCCGGTTCAGGGCAACACATTACCTTTGATGAACTGACCTTGTTTGCATCTCATTATTTATCGCAATTTGCAGCCGCAATTTGCGCTGAGAAGGCTCGAAGCAAGGACAGTGGCCTTTTGTTGTCGCAAATGGAATCTCAGGTAGATCACGCACCGCGCAGACCACGTGGAAATCGAAGTCAGTTTTAATCTCGACCTGGCGACGCTGTGTTTGGTGTCGCTGCCTTGAGGAGTCCTCGTGCCTGGCGAGCTTCCTTGCGCTGGTCTTAGAGGTGTCAGCTCAGCTGTCGTTCGAAAGGTTTGTTTCTTCAAAAGACCCAAACTAAACAAGCAAAAAGGTTGGACATGTTCTCGAAGTGTTTTGAGGTCTCGGCCATGGCTCCAGGCTTGCCATTCCAGGCGCGCGACGTAGACAGCTTCGAGCGCTTTCAAAACTGGAGGTCTTTTATTTATTCTGGATGATTGGTAAGGTTTGGCTCCGTGGGCAATTCATTATAAGGGCCCCTGGTGGTTGTCAAGTTGAACCTTAGCGTGTTTTCCAGTGCATTATGGTCTGGGCGCGTGTTGCTTTTGCCTGGTGCACCCTCCCTTTTGACGCTGCGCAAGCCATGCGTAAGTGCAGATGGAGGGCCAGAACAAGACTCACGCCGGTTTGGCAAGCTTGATCTGAAAGCAGTTGGGAGCGCAATGCCGTCCAAACTGCAGGGTGGTACTTGGGTGCCCGAAGGCTCTCAGATTGTGACGCAATGGACCATGAGGCTGGATCAGGGAAGATCAAGAAGGAAACAGCACTCCGCCTAAGAGTGCTCCATCAAAAATGCAGACAGAGGCGGATCAGACACCAATGAGGTGGATATCCCGGTGGAGCCGGCAGTCAGAGACAGGATGCAAACACGGGCGAGAGTTAAGCTCGAGCTCCAAAAACTTTGGGCAGTTAGGCTCAATCGAGGGGCCCGGCATCAACAGGCTTACCTACATAAAGTGACCAGTGGACCAGATTGTGCAGGAGAGTGCGTGCCGCAGCTTCAAGAGCAGGACAGAGCTGTCAGGAGGAGGGGGCTGTGCAGCACTTCCAGCTGGATTTTGGACGGCTTTGATGCCGGGCTGGAGCTGCGTGGTTTGCCTCGGAATATCAAGTCCACGAGGCAGCAGCAGCCTCTGAAAACACACCCTTCTTTGCGCATTCGCAGCAGCGTTACATTGTGAGCCAGGTGTATGGATGCCTTCTGCGACCCTCGCGTGTCGCATGGCGGAGATAGGCACGGTGACGGAAGCCTGCGTTCCTACTTCGTCTTCGTCTTCATGATCGAGAATGAAAGCCGTGTGGATTGCCATTTGCATGTGTATGCTTTCAAGGCGCTGTGACCTGTCATGACGATGGCCAGGCTCTTTATCAACATGTGCCTCCACCTCCCTTGAGAGGTTGGAGATAGCCGGGCGCATTTTGGTAGTACTATAATGATAGGCTAGGGCGAAGAACAATTAAGTTGCTAGAGAAATCGGGGGCGCGGAGACACGCGTTCGCTCTTGATTTTTGCAGCAGGCCAAACTCCTTGCCTCAGCAGACACTCCGCGCAACCAGTCCACAGCGCAGTTCATTTGTGTGACGCTGAGGGCTGGTTTTGCTGACCAGGCCCATAAGATCTATGAATTGAGGCGAGCCTGAGTGGGAGCATTGCTCTTACGAGCAGTGGCTGAAACAGGAAAACAGGAGAGGGCTTGAGGTGGATATTCGCCAGAGGACTGGACAGGCATGAACAGCTCTCACTCTCACAGCTTTGAGGACAGAGGTATATGTTTGCGCAGGCCTTCGGATCAACGCCGAAAAGCGATCGCTTGAGTCGGTATTCAGCAAACATTTAGCAAACATTTTTTTACGGTTCTGTGTTGAACAACACGTGTCTGTGAATGTAACTTTGTTTGATCAGATTGTCGCGGGATTGGAAGCGCAAGAAACCGGCTTGCTGCTGCGCTCCTCCGTTCTTCCAGGACGATCTCTTTCTGGAAGAGGAGAAGGCCCAGAGAAGCTGGAGGCCTTTGGAGGCCTGTGGGGGGGCTTTGCGTGGTTGAGGAGGACGGTTGAGGTTGACCGTTGAACAAGCGCTTGATACCTGGAAGGAAGGAAAGTCAGGATGGAAAGCGCTGGTCAAAAAGGCAACTTTGAAGCTTCTCTGGCGGAGGCTGCGGAGGGTTGCGTGGAAAACATCAACCCTGCAAGCTGCGGTTGAGCCGCCCGCCAAAGCAGCAAAAGAGCGCCTGCTGTAGGAGAAGCCAAGCGTAAGCGAACGCAAGCTGCCCTGTATACTTGCGCCCACAAGCAGTGGAGCAGTTGCTTGTAACTTGTAACCAAGGCAATGAAGAACCCAATGCCGAGCGCAGGAAGCACTGTTGCCTGCGCGTTGCTCCGATATTTCCTGGCAAAAGAATCAGCTGGCGCGGCGGTGGCTCTATGAACGCGCCAATACACTTCACAGACCATGTTGTCCAAAGAGACCCCCGATCATCTTCTGGGGCAGGGAGATCTGAGATCAACTTCGACCAGGAGAACTGGGGAACTGATCAAAGTGAGGTAAAACGCCTTCATGGACGAGATCAACGTTGGCACGGTTTCCGCACAGCTTTTGAAAGAAGAAGCCAAGCTGACTCCTGACGAGTGGAAGGAGGACCGAAGCTGCGCCGGAAGCCTTCAGGTTCAAGGCCCGGTTTTGTGAATTTCGATCTGCGGACTTGAAGCCACCACCAAGGACTTGGAATCCTGGTGCGAATGGATCAAGATCATCACGGAGAGTAAGACACGAGCCACCATCGTGGATTGGAAGCGTGCAAGGGTCATTACGAGCGACCAGAAGCACTTCGGCTTGCCTGCTTGACTGAATTCCTCTGCGGTAAGCTGATGGATGGTCCAAGCGGCGGCTGAGGCAGCTCCAAGTGGCAGACTGTAAAAGTCATGATGTGATGATGCCGTGCTCAGCCCGAACTCTTCGTTGAGCAAGAAGCGAGCAACAGTTGCTGTGAGGAGCATCCAGAACTACATCCGTCCCCGAGACCTGGTATAGATGTGGGCGGACGGGCTCACAAAAGTGAGCGTGGACGAAAAGAGAAAACATAGCAAAGTGAATTTTTCCATGTCAGAGCTTGGCATGCACACCTTTGTCCATATGAGTGCTTGCGTTGTGACCCTTTCTCGCCCGCAGACTGGGCCCGCTTGAGCTTAGTTCTTTGTGAAAAAGGGGTTTGGTTTGCTGCGCCGACTGCCATAGGACAACGATAACCTCCCTGTTTTACAAGATCTAGACCGTTTAAAGCTTGAGAGGGGGTGCGTTCATGTGTAATTTGTTTTTGATTTTGAGCGGAAGCGGCGCAGGCTTCGTGCGAGTCATTGCTCCTCTTGTGTGGCATTGGATATTGGTTTGTGGGGAAGGCGCTGGAAATACATTGATGCTGGGACCTTGAACTCTGCGTGAGTCGATGGATATCTCCGGTCACAGAGTCGACGGGATGAAAACGTGTCAATGAGTCAGTGGCCGTCCCATGACAGAAATGCCGTGACAGCTTTGGCCTCGCCCAATCCACCCGTAGGTCCTTGAGTGCTTTCTGCAATCCAAGGATAGCGCGAGCACAGGTGTCGCAGGTAGTCGCAGGCCTTCGTTTTTGTTGTCGGCCGCTTCACTGTGGACCTGAAAGTGTCTGCTCGACAGACACGCCGCTCGCTTCCCAAGTCCATGCATTCTGGTTTCTTGCTGTGTTTCCAAGGGCATGTCTGGGGGCCAGAGGTTGATAAAATCCAAACAGCTCTCAACTGTCCAGTTTGGACACAAGTTCAGCGAATTTTGCCAATCACATCAACCACGTACGGATGCCTTGTTAACTGTATGATAGGTTTGGCAACCAGGTAAGGATAGCACGAAGACAGAGTTGCAAATAAATGCAGGCCTTCGTTTTTGTTGCCAGCCGCTTCACTGTGGACCCACAGTCTACTGCGCAGACACGCCGCTCACAACTTCCTGATTGATGATTTTCATGCATGCTCTTGGACGGGCGTATTTGATGTGAAAATCAATATAGGGGTCATGCCGGCCTGGGTGACGTCAATGGAAAACAGACTGTGCATGCTTCCCAACATACGTATGATTTGTTCTACATTCCGGGAACCGGATACTGAAACCGCAGAAAATGGCCAAAGGCATGGCTGAAGGCACTTCGTTCATTCCTTTGTGAAGTCCCTTGATAGAACTGGCGAAAGCGAAAACACCTGAAAGATACGATTCTCTACCGCCAACAGGTACATGCTGAAACAAGGCTCTAAACAGAAGGCTCTAAAATGCTCAAAAGATACAGAGTCGCAGATGGGCTGCAGATGTCCATGTCAAGCATGTCAAATATAAATTGGCGTGGGTTGAGGCGTGGGGGTGTCAGGATTGCTGAGCTCGCTTTGGTTGCTAAGTTGACTTCTACAGTTGCTTTCTACAAGTCTGCAGACAGGAGGGAAAGCAGAGAGCAGGACTCTTTGACGTGATCGGGCAGGACATGATGTGACCCAGCCCTTTAGCTCCGTCGATTCCGCTCGATGTTCGAGATGTCAGGTTCCTTGGTTGCACGCTTGGTTGTGGCATGCTTCAGTCGCTTCAGTGAAGCTGCGGTTTCCAACTTTGCAAACAGGGATTGCTGTCGCGAAGTGTAGCAGTGCTCAAGAAATCATCGCGGATGTTTGCGGTGTTTTGACATCAGCTGCCGTCCTCACTCTGTACCCACAGTTGGACCGATGGCAAACACTTTTGATTGGAACAGTCGAAATCGAAACAGGGATGGCTTGAGCCCCAAAGGCACACACACTTCAGCAATTTGCCCAACTGAGGTTCTTCAGGCCATACCTTTTTGGTAAGTTCAGCATATAATGTCAATAGGTCTGAGGGTGGTTGATATGTCACTAAGATGTGAATGGCGTGCAATGTCTTCTGAATCTGAGATGCCCAAAATTACAGGGGACTCGTCAATGCCCCAATTGCAGGGATGCACGATGCATTGGGCCCTCGGTTCTTTATTAATGCGCCGCACGAGACGCATTTCTTTTGTGTGCCTGTTCCGCCCCTTTCATGAATGCAGCGTGTTGATGTGTGTTGCAGACTATTTGATCCCTCGCAGAACCTTGCAGAAGCTTTGCAGTTTTTGGCCAATTTCTTTGCAAGAACCTAAAGCTCTCACCAAATGAGTCCAGGAAGTGGTCGAAACTTTGGACATGTTCTCAATGCCGCGCTCTTCACCGTCATTGCTTCGTGAGTTCTTCCATTCCTGTCCTTACCTTGCAGACGAAGTTTTCTTCCAAGGCGAGACCAAACCCACTCCACAGCACAACTCCCAAGACAGGCTTCATTTTGATGAGAATTCTTTCTTCAACTGGTTTCGGTTCCAAGGCATTTTATCTGCCAAATGCCTTGTACCAAAACGCCTTGGAATAAGAATGTTCAAATTAAGCAGGCATGTCATTTTCAGCATTTCATTAGAAGCCATGCGACGTGTGACGCGTGACATGAGGTTCCCTAGGCTCCGCGCTCAGTTGTGATTCCCCTTTCCTGGGAGATGCTGAAGGCTCCTAAGATGCCAAGAAACGCCTAAGGAATGCCAAGAGCCATCCAGCATCCAGCAGCATTATCCATTTACAGGAAGCCTAAGCACAGAAGCACAGATCTGTGGGGAACTTAAGGTAAAACTGCTAAAGCGTTCCCACCGAGCCTGGATCAATCGGATGCCATGTGAATATAGTTGGATAGACATTTAAGTTTGCGCATGCAATTTGCATCCTTGTTGAGTAACGATTCACCACCAAAGAAACTAAGATGGTTTGAAGACTGCAACCCTGCTTCCATCTCAGGGTTGCAGCCAAAGCCTTTTCAGCCTGAGACAAGACATGGCCTCTCTGTAGAATCTCGCGCGCCTTTGATACCATTTGCTGTGTGTGGTTCGGTTCTCCTAGCATTACCTGTCAGCCTACCCGTCATCTCTGCCAGCTCTGTTTTGGGCTTTTCGAGCTCCCGACCTTGCAAGAAGCCGAGGCAAAGCTTGGTGAATCGCGCAGTCGTGCAGGTACGGAAGCTGCAAAGCGAAGTCATCGCTTGGTGCTTCGTTCGTCATGTTCGTCGATCCGAGAAGTCGATCCGAACGTTTGTCACAAACCGAAGTCGATCGCACCTTTAGAGATTGGATCGAACGAGATCGGAGAGGAGTGCCTCACTGGGTTCCTTGGGTTGTGAGAAGTGCCGCACGAGTTCCCATGTGATTGCACACAGAACTTTGGCAAGCTCACTCAAGGCGCATTTGTGACAGATCACTTGCGGCGAAATTGACACTGAAGGGATTGAAACCGGCTGTCTCTGGGGAACCCACCTCCTGGCACCTCACAGTGATCAGTTGGGAGTGCACTGGATAGAAAGGTGCCAAAGGCACGTGATGCTGGGCCACCGGTGCCACATGGAGCACCCACGAGCATGTGACGCTGTGCCTTCAGTTTTTCATTCTTCTTGTGCTCCTTGGATTGTCTTTTTGTGTTTTCCTTCGAGGAATCTGCCGAGGATTACTTGGGCCCTTGCGCGACGGTGCCATGACATGCCCAAGCTGTTGCGAGGCATTTCCATTTGCCTTTCCATATTCTCCACTGGCCTTTCGCCACGAGATGCCCTGAGACGCCATTGAAAGTGAGGGACTCGCCACTGAGCAAGGGCTTCGTTGCCGGATTGAAAGGGCGAGTGGGCTAAAGCGAGATTGCAGGAAGCCCACAGCAATGGAACGAAAGTGTCATTTTCAAGCCCGGCTTATTCAGTCATTTTTTAGGTTAGGAACTTGAAGAAGAGGTATCATTTTTGCCTAAGAGGTGCAGCGACAGGATTGCAGTTCACATTCCCTTCAAGTACACGGGGGCAAGTCTGTTCAGATGTCCGTTCACACCAATTGCTTGGGCATCGTGCTTGCAGCGTGCATCAGACCTGCTCTGCAGCCTTTCTCCATTGCTGTTGGGAGACATCGTCTGCCCAACCACTTTCATATCTTAGTTTCATTCAGTCCCATGCGTTTCATTTTTCTCATATCTCACATCACACTTCAGACTTGTACGGAGATGCACCAAAAGCATGCGACGCTACACCCTGCACGGCATAGCAGCTTTCTGCCAACCACAATGGCATGGCATCGTGGCGCCTCCAAGCCATCTCCAAGCCTTCAATTCTCCAGCCGCGATGCGCAAAGAAGTGAGCGAAGTGAGCTTTCCAAGGCTTTCGTTCATGGTGGTTTTCGACCTCAAAGGCTTCAGCTAGGTAGGCTCAACGGTCACTCTGTGAAGTCGTCAAGCTCGTCTGTGTCAAATCGGTCAGATGCAGTTCTTCTTGGATCCGCTGCAGCTGGCTTAGCCAGGCCTTTTGCGTAAAGTCAATCGAGAAGAAGTGACCTGTTTGCGCAAAATGCCGTGCATGGTGTGGCCGGCATTAAGAAAGGTCGTCGACGCTTGAATGCGGTGATTCTCTGCCAGTTCCATTGCTCCAAAGGTTTCAAAGCAGACACCAGACGTCAAGTTGAGACTGAACTTCGAGATGTTTGAGAGTCGGGTTTCAACAGTCTCCTCGCCTCAACAGCACACGTTCTTGACAACTGTTGCTTAGCTCCTTAAGTTTGAACCCTTAAGTTTATTAAGTGTTCATGAGAGCACCAGATGGCGAAAACGCCAAGGCAAAGGCGAGCCTCGGAAATCAGGTCGTTTGAATGCTTTTCGAACGCTTTCAGTTGCTTCCAGCAGCTTGCCTGCTCTGGTGCAGAGAAACTCGCTTTTGAGGCATGTAGGCGCAGGCTCGTCTGCAGGCTCAGTGATTTCTGTCACCCTGAAGAGAGCAGAGCTCAGCTGCATTCACCCAGCTGTGTCTGCTGTTTCTGCTGTGTCAGTGCTGTATGACTTTCATTCTTCCAGCTCTTCCAGCAACCCTTCTTTTTCAACTTTGTTCTCGAAGAGCTTCGGGAAGCAACCGCCAAGCAAGCTGTGAGTTGACTGCCACGTCTGCATGAGCTGGGCAACGTTGATGGCGGGCGTCTTTGCATGGTCTAAAGTGGACAGGTATGGTGAGAGGTGTGTTGAGGACAGGCTCTCAGCTAGTGCCACTAGGCAAACCTGGGCATCCAAGTGATATGTGTTTCAAACATCACTTTCAATCATTTTGCATCCAATTGTCCTCGTTTTGCTACGTCCTTGACTCCGGAAGCTGCTCAAGTGCGCAGTCAAACCGCGAGATGCGAAGCAGCAGCAGCTGCTTTTGTGTTGACAGCTCCAGGTGGATGGGGCGCTTGTGCCAGCTGCAGATTCCGCTGTCATTTCTGATCGGTATCCGGAATGGTATAGCAGTTAGAGCAGCTATAGCATGACAAACCTTGGAGACATAGGCCGCCTTCGACTTCGAATACTGCTGAAACTGCACTCAGATTCCAAGAATTTTGGCTGAATTGATCAGTTGAATAAATTCGAAGGCAGACACAAGCCAACATAAGCTGACATAAGTCGGCATAAGCCAGAACGTGCCCAGTGCCCATGTGCACGTGTGACCCAACCGTGACAGCTTGCCAGTCGCCTCGGAGGTCTTTGTTGCAATCTCTATGATCTACGTATCTATCAACGATATCCATAATCGTAACATATCCATCACCTCAAGGCACATCATAGGCACAGCTAGGCCTGTAGGGCAGAAGACAGGATTGCAGAGAATCAGGCCAATTGCATCTTACGAACAGGGTGTTGGCGTCAAAGTCTTTGCCCACAGCCCCTTTGGTGAACTTCAAACCATCACGTCAACTGGTTGTCATACATTGAGTCACTGAGGCCTTTCAGGGTGGTGTCATCACCGGCAGCTGTCATGAGTTTTGCTGCTGCACGTGGGTCACAGAATTTCCCACTTGCCTGTCGACAGTTATTAACGTCCAGCCAGTTCAAACTCAATACCAAAGAGTGCACCGCATGTCTCCTGAAATGACTCCCGCAAATGTCAAAGTAAGTAGGCATGCAAAGCGGTGGAAACACCTTCCTTCTTCCCAGCGCGGTCCCAACATGTTGTGCCAAGCTCACGATGAAATACCTTTGTGCCAGTGCTCTTCAGCAATCAGGACTTAACGAGGTTACCGGGGTGCGTCGGCTGACTGAAGTGACTCAAGGTTCCCCACAAGGATGCGCCGGCTGTGCCATGGCAAGCCATCCCTGTGCTTTCTCGTGATTCGTGCCCTAGCATGGCTGGCTTGCGGAAGGCGGAAGGCGGAAGGTACATTTGCCATCTTTGCAATGGTTGCTGCGGGCCTTTCTCCAGTGATCCATGCGTTAAATCAACCAGGATATAGAACCAAAGCCTGTTTCGGCATTCGTAGTTCAAACGCCGTAGGGACATCACGCATGCACAGAGTGTCTCTGATGCGACTGCGAGCAGAATCGCAAAAGCTTGTCGCAGAGGAATTGCTTCACATATAACGTCTGGCCAGTGAACGACTAGCCTTGCCCAAGCATTGCCGAGGTTTCTTTCACGCTGTGCGCCACGAACACTCAGCAGTCGTGCCCGTTTTGCCTAGGAAGCTTTTGTACCGTGCTTCCCAGAGTGAGAAGGGCGGCCGTGCTCTTTTGGCAAGCAACACAATTATCCACAGAGCCTCAAACACCAAGTTCAGGGAGAGCAACTAGTGTTGGCGGGCCGTCGATGTCAATGGTCATGTGTGATGAAGCACTGCTTGATCATTGATGCTGCTGTGATCTCGGGCTCCGCTTGGGCACCGTCAATGGGCTGATGCCTCTCATTGCTTCGATTGAATGTATCGCCCCGTGCATGAAAAGGGGAGGTCACCAGAGCGCTGCCCAGTTTGCTTGGCATTGTCAGGTGGTTTGGACTGGGAGCATGCCCAGGTGCAGTGGAATGCAGTTGTCATGGCATCCGCGCATCTCTTGAGCACTACCCACTTTGAACAAGGATTTACTGGATTACAGTGTCCATGTGCCTTAGGCCATGGCCCAGTTCGCTCAGTTGTGGCCACAGCCATCGCAGCCGGCGCCCGTTTGTCTCCCGAGGCCTTCGCTAGGATCTTTGTAGCTGTACAGGGAAGGGAATTTGTCTAGGAAAATGAATTTGGCACAACAAGTCGGTGCAGCTTCTTACACCAGCCCGCAAAGCATGCTGGCTGCCGTACTCCCCTATGCATTGCGAGCCGCGGGCCGCGTGGGATGTTTGCAAGGCCAAGAAGTGAGGTTCAGTTGTTACAAGCGCGCGGTTAGCCAACACTACGTGCCTGCCATGGATGGGATGGAGCACATACATTCGACTGCTTGTTGGGTTTGTGGGGGCCTCAACTGGTTTGAAACTTTGGGATCGGATTCTGCGCTTGCGCTCCCCTCCTTCCTACATCAAAGGAGCGCAACAAGAACTGTCTTTCGGATGTTTTTCTGACAGTTTCTTGTGCCGGCTGCTGTGGCCCACTATCCATCTTCTCCGGCACTTGCAAGAATTGTGAAGTAGTGAAGTGGGATTCTTCTCTGACAGAGCCAACCTGCCCACATGCCGCCAGCTACTTCAAAAGCTGCAGAAGCTGCTTGAGACATCCTGAAATCCTTGCATTGAGGTGCTAAGCGGGTTCGAGGACAGCAGTGCTATCTCTCCTGTTTGTTCATCAACGACATCGCCATTGGACACAGCCAGGACACAGCCAGGACGCAGTGGGTTGGTGTCAGGCATCACAGGTTTAGTCGTTTCAGGGGGAAGCCAGTGCAACTCACATATGTCCTGCGCAAGTGGTGCCCGTCATTGTTTTCATGTACTGACGACCTGAAGCCAATTTGGTTCATGAAAGGCACTTGCTGCGCTAGCCGTGTGTTAAGAGCTTTGTTGAAGGCATTGAAGGCATCCCCATGCTTTTGCCTAAGCTGCCAAGGCAGTTTGTGTGGACCTCAGCAATGCTCAGGTGCTATTTGCGCTTTCCAATTTCGAAGTGGTAGTAGTGCTGCAGAGGGCTTCGGCAGCCGTGGTCAAGTTGTCTTCTTTGTGACAAGCCTACCAATCGACACCTGCATCATAGAAGCTGACGTGGTTTCTTGTAAAGCAGGGCAAAGCATGCCCCATCCTGCGAGTCAGTGGAAGGGAAGCCGTTGCGTCAGAGGATAACTTGCAGGGGATGCTTCCGTGCGAAGAGCCATCTATTCAACTTGCGAGTTGGCAGGGCACCGCTGACGTTGTGCATGTTGGGAGAAGTTCAAAGCTACCAGGGCATTCGAATGCATAAGCTCGTAAGCGCACCGAGTGCAGACTTTTTTCTGGCAGATTGCCCGTGCTTCAAATGCATGAATTTGGCTTAACAAGTCAGTGCAGCTCCTTCATGCTTCACGCCTCATGCGAACACCAGCCCGCAAAGCATGCTGGCTGCCGCGCGCCCCTATGGAGAGCCGCAGGCCGCGTGGGATGTTTGCAAGGCCAAGAAGTGAGGGTCAGTTGTTGCAACTGCGCGGTTAGCCAACACTACGTGCCTGCCATGGATGGGATGGAGCACATTCATTCGATTGCTTGTTGGGTTTGTGGGGGCCTCAACTGGTTTGACACTTTGGGATCGGATTCAGCGCTTGCGCTCCCCCCGTTCCTTCCTACATCAAACGAGCGCAACGAGACTGGTCTTTCGGATGTTTTTCTGACAGCTTGTTGTGCCGGCTGCTGTGGCCCACTATCTCCATTTTCTCGGGCGCTTGCAAGAATTGTGAAGCAGTGAAGTGGGCTCATAAACAGCCTGCAGCCATTTTCGATTTGAGGAACGATGATCGTTCGCAGGGTTCTCATTCTTCTTATGCAATTTTTCTCAAGGGAAATTCTCCCGGATGCATGTGTTTATCGGGTCCCATCATGCGATCTGTCCCTTTGCACAGCACGATGTGTCTGATGTCCTTGTCCCAACACAACTCCTGGATTGCTTCAATTATTTGTTCTTCGTGCACCACTAAGGGTCCGATTCCAGATACGAGGCGGTCGGCTTCGTGCATCACATCCCATGAGACTCATTTTGTGCTCCGGAGACGAATTTCGTGCTCCGAACTCTTTTGCTCCAGACGTCTTCTCTTAGTTGGATGTGTCTCATCTTGCGCTCCAAGGATTGGCCATGCTTTTTCTTGGCCAGCACTTGGACAATTTGTCTTGAACAAATCCATGGATAGAGTTCGGTGCCGGACAAAGCCATCCTGGAATCCTGCCCACATGCCGCCAGCTAGTTCAAAACCTGCAAAAGCTTAAGACATCCTGATATCCTTGCATTGAGGTGCTAAGCGGGTTCGAGGACAGCAGTGCTATTTCTCCTGTTTGTTCATCAACGACATCGCCATTGGACACAGCCAGGATGCAGTGGGTTGGTGTCAGGCGTCGGTGCCTCCAGCCTCTAAGGCCACGCGTGACAGGCAGAGAATTGAAGAGGGCAGGCGGCAGCCTGCAGCATTTTCCGAGTGCAAGGGGTCCCAATAAGGTTCTCGATGGGCCAGCCGAAACAATTTTCAAAGCAGTTTTGCCACGAGCCTGAGAAGTGCTTTGTTTTTGGGACTGCACTGGTTTGGAACCTATGCAGTAGTTGCGCTGCACTTGGCTTCGCCGTGGATCTTGCTGATCTTGTCCTGAGCAAAGTTGGGCGTAGTTTCAGAGATGGACTTGCCAGCCTTCTCCCCACTACAAGTGTTAAATCACCGTGTGGCATCTTGTAGTGAACAGCAAAAGAAATCAGGCTGGTTCATTGTCACCTTCCTCATTCAAGGTCATGAGAAGTTGCCGCCAAACCCGCCTTGCCGGGAAACAAGCACACCCTGGCATTTCGAACGATGCGTGTTGTTGCTCCGCGACATGGTGTCAACATAGACAGGCCACGTGCTGCATGGCATGTCGTTCCAGCATGCCCTGTTCCATGTCGTTTCAGTGTCGCTGTGATCGCATTGCCTCGAAAGACAGGATCCACACTGCGAAGGTCTCGAAGCCGGGTGCTCTCATGCGGGAGGGAAGGAGGCGTTCACAGAATGGAAAGGGAAAGCTTTGGGCTTTGGGCCATTGGGATGTTCGAACCTTTCTGCAGACCGAACGGAGGACTCAAAGACGCAGATGAGGCGCCGGTTCGCCGGCCACTCAATTCCAAGCAGCTATGACACCCAAGGGAAACCATGCAGATGGAAAGCATGCCCACCTGACTTCAGTTTTGTTGTTAAGACGGTGCCAGCAACTCCTGAACCTGGAAGCTGAACTCAGTGTCCAGAATTTCTTGGCCGGGGGCACCAAGGGCACCAAGGGCAAATAGCGTTCTGCGGGTTTCACGCCATGGAGTTTTGTTCTGATGTTTGGTTCCACGATCTCATGGGGCCATTTCATCGTGGATCGCCTGGTGGATCGAGGGTTGCCATGGTGGATCGAGGCTGCTCATGCATGGATACTTTCTAGACAGCTGCGAGTGGCATTGCTTCTTCTCCTACGAGCGCCCCATAGCTGATGCTTCGGGCTTGACACCTTTGCAAGCCTTTGCTTCTTGGTACGATGGCCTGCAAGCAGTGCTGCTACGGCAGATCCCCTACCAACCAATTGCTCTGCAGACGTGCTGATCTGATAAGTTCAGAGACAGTCCAAAGGCAAAGCCAATAGCAAAGCCAGTAGACTTGGATCTTCTTAGATCTTAGGCATCTTAGATACCACTGGTCTGCGTGGCGTTGGTGGAGGTGAAGGTGCAGATTGGCCATGACTGACCTGCTTAACGGACCATGGAGAGCTCATCTGACATCGTCCCTTGGCATGGGAGACTCCTGGGAGACCATTCAGACTGAACATGAACATTACGTGAACCACAGAGACAGAAAAAAGAAGAGAAGGGAAGACAGATTTCGGACAGATCCAAAGTGAAAGCTCCAAGTCTGAGAGATTTATTTGATGCTTCTCAGAAAGAACATTGATATATTTAGAAGGTTGAACAGAATCTGCTAAACAATAGTTTTGAAATTGGACATCTTAGAATATCGTTTGCAAACCGTTTTTCTTCAGCGCACACCATTTAAACCTTCCGCGCATTTTTCACAGAGCACAGAGCACGGAGCACCGTCCGAACTTTTCTTGTCAACATGCCTTTTTGACATCAGAGCTAAGATTGGTACGACCCGGCACTACTGTTTCAACCACTCGGTCGTACCATTCTACTTACTATAAGCAGATGTAAGCAGATAAGTCCGGCTTTCACATTCGGCGGTCACAGACCCGTCACAAATCCAAGGGCCACGCGTCTCGCTGCGGAATACAGAGAATGTCAGGAAGCATGACAGAATCCGTGCCAGCAAGAATGGCAGAATGGATGGCAGAAAGAGTGTCAGATAAAATGTCAGAGTAGATGCCAGAATACATGCCGGAAAGGATGCCAGTGAGCATGCCGCCCGGCCAATCCCGGCCATATGGCAGACAGAATTTCAAGAACAATTCATTCCAAAACACATATCACATATCAGAACAAATGTCGGAACACTTGCCAGACAAATGTCAGAACAGGTGTAAGAATATATACCAAAACTCACGCCAAAACACATATCAGAACAACCGTAGGAACAAAGGACCACTTGTCGGACGAATGTCAGAGCTGATGTCAGAATACAGGCCAGACACATGCCAGAGCGCATATCGTAACATATTGCGGAACACTTGTTAGACACGCAAAAAAAGATGTCAGAGTATGTGACAGAACACACGTCAGACAGACCACATGTCAAAACAAATGTCGGGGCGTATGTCAGAACACATGTCGGAACAAATGGCAGGTTTGATGGCATTAGAAGCGTCAGAAAACATGTCAGAACACACATCAGAACCAGATTTGATGCAAGAGCACGTGTCAGAAGTACATGCTGCAAGGTATGTCAGAGTACATGTCACATGTTAGACTTGACGGCAGGACAAATTTCAGAACACATGCCAGAAAGGATGTCAGACCACATTCCAGAACACTCTTTTCCACCATTTATGTTAGATTATGTGACAAAAGACATACCACGTATGCAGTCTGTCAATATATGTGCCTTACCTTCTTCCAAATCGCCTTTCAAGGTGACAATCACTCACAGCAAAGCAACTTGAGCTGAATCTCGCCTAGGTACTGCGCGCGATCACAACAGCCACGATTCGGCCAAGAAGCAAACACACCCGCGGCCAAGGTTCCCTTGCTGTCAGCGTTTCGTGCATTTTTTAGCTTTTGCGCTATGGCAGCTGCCCAGCTGTGGGAGTGGCTGCAAGCTCAGCTGTGTGGGTTGTTCTGCTAAAGTCCATAACTGGGATTTTTTTGCAAACAGTCCTTTGACTGTTTGTTTTTTTTATTGTCATTTACAAGCAGATTCGATACAAGATGGTACAAATGCATTTTACTTGCGACATGTGTTCTAATTACTTTAGTAGACATGAGAGAGCTAAGACCGATATAGCATAAGAATCAACCGTTTACAAAACATAACTTTTGGGGACCGAAGAACAACGTGCAAAAACTTGCAGAGAACTGAATTTAGGCACCGCTTAACTAAAATGCTTCACAGCTAAACACCATCCAATCGCGTGCCGAAAACGGCACAAAAACACACCTTTTGAACGTCCCGTTTGGATTCCTAATTAAGACAATTCTATATATATAATCCTATATGATTACAGTATGATGATTCATGTGTTTTTTTACAGTATATTTTCCTATTAAGATCAAACTCATCCAGAAAACGCTCGCAGACGGTGCCATACCAATAATTCAGCCATGCCTAAACAGCACCTATTTGTATGCTCAAACTATGCCGAACCAGCCTCCCATATGCACATCGAAAGCACCTAACATTGTAAAATTATAACCCCAAAAGCAGATGCAGACACATCGGTAACACCCAGGTGCGGTGCCTTAGTTGCCGAGCAGCCGATGCAGCCACCGCTGAACGCCTCTGTCCGTGCCCAACGCCTCCACTGCGGCAAGGACGCCGAGACAAGGCCCCAGAGACGGTGCAACAAACCCGACCATCGCAGCCGATGCGGCGATAAAGACCATCCACCGGACAGTTCCGTTCGCCTCAGGTTGAAGGCCAAGAACATGTAAGAATTGTAAAAGCAATGCGAAATGATGAGTTCGAACACTGCAAAATCCAACTGATGTAACAAGCTCGGTTTTTCAAGCACGAAAGCTGTCGAAAGAAAACACAGCCAACAGTTTCTGTGGCGTCACTTGGGGAACACAATGAGACAAATCAAACAACATCAGACATAAAAAGCGACTGTATATCAATAACGATACATCCTGGAAACACTGTTGTGTTGAGACACAATTCTTCGAAGGGTTCCTCTGGTTGAACAGGAACGTTCGTTTGTGATTCTACAAGAAGTCCAGCTACCTCAGCTGCCTGAGGTATGACATCTATAGTGATAGTGTATACATATATGGCCATGAGTCAAAACGTTTTTTGGTATGGAACATGTACTCTTGAATATCTCGTTCCATACCCCGTTCCATACCTGTGGAACAGCATGTTTGTTCGCCGTTCCATACCCATCGTTCCATACCTATGGACTCCTAGTTTACAATTGTTCGAGGTTCAATCAAAACGTGCGCTTTGCTTGCTGAAATGCATTTACCGTGAGAAACGGGACTGAGATGACACGTCAGGTTTTTTGGCACAATTTGTTCCATACCCCCGTTCCATACCTGTTCCATACCTTATGGAACAAGGGATCCGTTCCATACCCTATGGAACAGGAAGGTGCGCGATGTTCACCTGAGACCCGGGGTTTTGACGCACACCCATATAATCCAAGCCAAGTTGCAACTGGTTCCCAAGAATCATCAGATTGAATAGTTTGTTTCGAACATCTTCCAACCATTTTTGGTGGATTATTCATTGTGTTTCATCCATTGCCGCCTCAAGCCCTCTTCATTCACCCTTGTGTTTCATCCATTCCCCCCTCGAGCCCCTTCATTCCTCAATTCGTTCTCAAACCAATTCTCAAAAAAAGCGGAACATCGACCCAAAAACATCAAATCACAAACCACCAAACAAACACGATACATCGACCAATACCAATGAAAACCAAACAAACATACCGACCCAACAAAGATCATCTGGCGTCCTGTCCCCCTTACAAATGCTCCCTGTTTCACATACTCAGAACGTCCTTCAGCCTTCTGTCCGAATTGACTGCAAAAGGAACATCAACCAGGGAGTTCGGAGATGTTGTGTAAGGAATACATTCCATCCCATGTTCCATCCTTTGATAGCGTTGCGCGGTTCCTAAATGTTTGCCATTGCCTAAACTCCCACGTGTTTATTTTAATCAATGTAATTGTATCCATCCCTTTTTGTCCATATTCAAGTTCGCTTCCTGTATAAACAGTAATCAGCATCCTAAAAATCAAGTTCATTCATAAATTGGTGTGTATTCAAAAGTCCAGTCTGCGAGTTCTCAATGAACCAGACGTTTACATCAAAATGATTAGTCATGTCAATGGGTTTTGAAACTGTTAGTTTTTGCCCTGCTGCATTCAACACATAGGGGACTACTCCAAAAGGCATCAAAATAGCCAGTGCAATATTGCATATGAGCGACGGTCAAATTTGTTGTGGAGTTGCAGGTCATCAGGATTTGGTGTGAACTCCCATGACCACTCACTAGGGGGAGTCGCTCAGTGACTCTCCCCCTCTCCACCCTATTGGTCACGGTAGTCGACGTGTCGGTCATATGGGTGGGGGCAGAGGGAGAGTGAAACGAGGAGCACATGCGGCACGTGGGTGGCCCAACGGTCCGGGGGTTTGCGCGGTGGTCCGTTTTTGGCCTTCCAATTTCGGACGATAAAGGTGTTTAGGTTGTCAACATGAGGGATGTTTTGCTCGCGTTGACGAAGGTTTGGAGGGTTTGGAGGGGGGAAGATGTATGGAGAGGTTTAGAGGGTAGTGTCTACAGGGAGGTGGGGGTGTTCAATTTGTTCTTTGCATGGAGAGCTTTGGTGAGGAGAAGATGTCTTTTTCGTGCCACGTGCCATGTGTTCGGGAGCTTCGTGTGTTAGGCGCCATCTCAATCGCTTGATTGTGGTCAATGGATGGATCTAAATCTATCTAATTGATAAGCCAAACATGGCCAAACAACAAAGACATGCAATACACGAGCAGCAACAAAGACATGTGGAACTGCACGTTCACCTACTTTGGACAACTCTCCCAACGAACTTTTAGGATCCTTCAGGTTCCCTTCAGGTTCCCTTCGTGTTAAACACCCTTTTTTGCACCGTTTCCCATCCCGGTGTTTCTCCTGCTTTCGAAATCCCTTGCATTCCCGGACTCCTGTTGTTTTGCCTCCACTAGTTTCGTTCCCCTCCCTTCTCAAATTTATCTTATGGTGTATTGTTTGGATTTTGATACATATATATAGAGAGAGATATGCTCACCCCCCAATGATCTACCTTTTCCTGCTTTTCAGCTCTTCCACCTTTTCCTGCATTCCTGCATGTCAGCTCTTCCACTTTTCATACTTCTCAGCTCTTCTACCTCTTCCTGCTTGTGAGCTGCTTTGCTCTACTGGGCTACCCCTGTGTGGAACAAATTTTTGCAATACTTTGTGACAAGATTTTAGAAGGAAGCTAAACATAAATCAATTATATACTATATACAGAGCTAAAAGCGAAATCAATGGATTTCAACAGGAATTAAGAGGATATCAACAAATCATATAAACACAAGGAATTAATAGGTAATCAAAAAATCAACAAGGAGCTTTCAAAAGGGGAACTCACACATAACGATAAAGAAACATGAAAAACCTAGATGCGATTGCAGGTGATGTTTGTATTAAAGCCAGACGGGGTAGACATTATTGTAGGGGGTAAAGTTATATTATTTAAGATCTCCATTGTGAATGGGCTAGCCACTTGCGGACAAGATTTTTGACTTAATAAAGGAACTAACAATGATCATAACAAAATAACTTAAACAGGTAATCAACAAAAATCACAACGATGTCAAAGGGAATCAACAAGAACCAAAAGGAATTCAACAAATAAAAAAACACAAGGAGTTTTCAAGAAGAGAATTTGCAAATAAAGGTAATGATAATCTAAAAACATAGACATCATTGCAGGGATTTTTTTCCAAACGTCAGACCAGACCAAAGTGCAAACAATATTTGAGAGGGTCATATCATTGAATGATGAAACACACGTAGACATTAATCCAGGGGTGCTATCATTAAAGCGAAAAGGGACAGACATTAATAATGTAGAGGGTTTCTTATTCAAGACTTATACTGTACTGAGCGAACCCTTTGGTTTTCAGGGTCCATGTTAGTTTCCACAGGGTAATAAGGGAATTACAAGAACTTGATTAACGATTTTAAACTAATCAAAAGGAAAGGAATTCAATAGGTAATCAACACATACTATTTTTAAAGCATTTTTTTGACAAAAAAAGCAAACACAAAAAACATGCAGTATTAAAACACTATATATATAATTATATATATATATATATATTTGAGAAGTTTGGTTTGAGGATCTTCGTCGTCTTTTTTTTCATTGTTTGTTTTTTTTTTTTTGTTTTTTGTTCTTTGTATGAAGTTGGCAAAACATATACTATTATTGTTTAATTTTTAGTTCAATAACAATACATAAATAAGGTCTAAAATAAATACACACAAAAAACAAAAGAAACAACACCGAAGATCCAAAAGCCAACAAAACACCACAAAAACAAACTATCCTGAAACCAAATTTAAACTAGGAGGCCTTTTGTACATTTAAATATGTATGTTATTAAACATTCTCAAACACAGCAGGTTTTTAGCCCTTTTTTGAAGCAACACATTGGTAGTCGTCAGCCAATGAGGACCACTGATTTCTGATAGGGTCAAACATAACTTTGTATGGGCAGGCCCACAGAAAACAGCTCTGGGTAGATCACGGAAGGGAGTGTCCACATATATTGATATACACTCATGATTTTTTGTTTTGTCCTTGATGTGATTTGAGTGTTTCATTGTGCTGTATGCTGTTTTAAATTTATGTTATGGATGATTTGTTTAAGACACACAGAGGGGGGTTCAGGGATTTTGTCTAAACAGATGGACATCTAAATTCTATTTCTATAAAGTTGTTGCATGACATCTCGGAAGATGGGTGATAACTACCTGGTGACCCAGGTGAATTGTGCAACGTGAGATGTATTTTCCATTTAGCAAAGTCCTCTCTGTGTATGCCTTTTTGAGTCTCTGAGTCAATAGCCAAATGTTGTTCCAAAACTCATCTCCAAGTGAAGAGAAACGGATAAAGGTGAACCGTTCACGCGAGCATGGGACCCAAACAACACGTGTTCGCAAGCGCTTTGCTCTTTTTAGCGTTTTGTTGAAGCCTTCGCCTTTGCTTGGCTTCGGCTTAAAGTCTTTGCGTGACGAGGTGGTCGGAGAGGCAGCATTACGCCAATGCCAGAGCTGCAGATAGCCGATGGAGCGATGTAGACCCGCATCTTGCCCTTATTGCTAGCTTCGATAGAGGAAAACGCCGGAGCAAAGTGAGCAGAACTTGTTCATGTGCATCAGCAATTTGATAAACTTTGTGATCTCTGTCATATGCACCTTGAGCTTACTTTGATGAGAGAGCAAGAAGTAGAAACACAGCCACAAGTGTCATGAAACGATTGTCAAAACCAATGCAGATCAAAATCATACGGTTTGTCATAACAATTCTGTGTTTGCTGTGTTTAGTGTTTTGAGTTCGGGTTAATGACAAGGTTGCCTGAAACGTGCAGATTGTTGCAGCCGTATAGGCATTTGACCGAATGTGGATTAGCGTGGACAGAAGGTAAAGCCACGGGATTGTGGCCACATGGCCTTCATGGCCTTCATGGCACTTTCCATGGCCATGGCACTTGCAGCACAGCCGCTTGCAGGACAGCCCATAGAATGCGATGACGATTCGTGCCATATTTCCCATTTGCAATTGCAGGTCGCTGTTGGTGTTCCAAATGCAACGAATTGGACTGCACTGGGCGGCGTGTGCGTTGCCGAGCTGCCTGAAGAGTACCAGACACAGCCTATCTCTGATGTGTTAGAAAAGCACCCCGAAGAGGACGGATGGTGCGTGTTTGGTGCGGTGGACCCATGGATCAGCGGTTGTGCAGCGTGCCACAAGCTGCGAGACATGCAGCCCTACTTCGAAGTTTATACGCAGGAAACTGCGGTCCCCATCAAGGCGGACGCCACGCCCAAGACGCTCCGCTTTCCCAATGGTTCGCTGCTGACCATTCGTGACTACACCTACCCAATCGTGGACATCTATTGCTACCTGAACGGCTACTACGACATGCCCCGCAAAAGGTTGGTGAAGGATTATGACTACGTTGAGAAGATATCGGAAGCACAATGTGCAAGTGTAGAATGGCAGAATTCTGATTTGTCAATGCAGGGCATGTTCGCTCAATATCTGCATGAATCCGAGATTTTGGCCAGCCTGATGACTGAGAAGGGCATCTCTGATGTGAACCAATCACTGGTGAACAGTATACAATCGCACTTCGTAGTCAAGTGTTTGTTGGGAAGAGGTCACGGAGCCATTTGTGACATTCCGGAGTGTTCATGGAGGGGTTGCGTGTCGCGCGCCGGTGGTGAGGTCATCGTGAAGTACACTTCCCTTGGGGAATGTCCAGAGCTGTAAGACGTCGCTGTAAGACGTCCAGAGCTGAATCGACTATAGACGTCATCGAGAGAATCTCTTCCAAAACAGTTTCACCACACATAGACTCAGAAGCAGTCATGGAAAAGTTGCTCCGCCTAGCTTTGTGCATGTATTGTCTGGCCTTCTGGAAATGCTGCATAGAGGCAGTTTTGACAAGGGCAGGTTTGACACATGGTGATCATGGTGTGCTCTGCTTGGTCGCGGATGGCAACTACCAGTCGTCAGTGATAGGGTCTTGTGAAACTGTGGCAATTGGTTCTGTGTAGAAGAATGCGTAAAAAAGGGAATTAGCTCATAGCAGTCACATGCATCAAGTGACATGAGGACTCATCTTTTGCCACACACGTCGACGCCTGTAACATGATACTAGTTTCTCAAACATAAGCGGTTTGCTCTAGTAACAAGGGCATCGCTACTAGTAACAAGACACTACTACGAGTAGCAAAAAGCTACTAGTAACAAGGGCATCGCTACTAGTAACAAGGGCATCACGCCAGTTCCAAAGCAAAGAATAAGACCCTTTCCTTAGCTCCATGGCACGTCATGCCACCTTGCGAGCGGGACTGATGGCACTAGGTGGCTCTGATGTCAAGTTATTGGAAGCACACGCAGATGCCATTGCTGTGATGTGTCTAGTGGTTTGAGAAGCATCACATGAGAACAACCGCCAGGCATTCGGTGGATAGGCGTGGCAAGCGAGGAATGCGCCCGTGACCCGATGCTTCTCCAAATGGTTTCTTGGACACCGAAGTGGACACCATCGCATGTTCACGACAGGTCGCCTCTCAGTGGGATGGACTGCTACAAAAGACGCTGCTAGGGCCCAATCCTGACTGTCCTTCGCACCAGTGCTGGATCATCCTCATCATTGCGCCATCGACTCATCATCGATCCATCGTCGTCGTCACCAGCAGTAGTTTTACCACCACCATCTCTGTCATCGTCAGCATCCTCCTCCTCCTCCTCCTCCTCATCCTTTTCATTGTCATCCTCTTCATCATCATCGTCTGAAGGTGCTAGAGCACACAGTTGGCCGCTTTTCTGCGGATGTTGGTCATTTTGGTGCTCTTCTTTCCCCAGGGAGAGGGATAGATATTGACGGCTGGAGATGCTGCTGCGTGCTGCTGCGGCTCGTGCTGTTTTTGCGACTGAAAGCCGCGGATGATGAGATCTCCAGTGCGTTGTGAAAATGACTGACGGTGAAAATAAATGACTGACTGTGCGTTGTTGCTTCCCGTGCTGGTCATACTAATTACTGATGTTGAACATGATGGCGATAGTGATGAGGGGATCGTGATGATGACAGTGACGACGATGATGGTGTTGATCATGGTTATCATGATGGTGAGAGTGTTGGTTATTGTGATGGTGATGGTGACGACGATGTTGGTGATGGTGATGATGGTGTGCATGGTGATGAGCGTAGCGATGATGTTGTTGAGGATGATGTTGGTGGTGATCATGACAATGATGACGAAAACGACGACGACAACAACGACGGCGACGACGACGATGATGATTCGAACAACAATGATGATGGCTATGATGATGATGGGGAGGCTGATGATGATGATGTTGTATTGATGGTGCTATTGCTGGGGTTGCTGATGCTGATGATGGTGGTGGCGGTGATGGTGATGGTGATGATGATGATGATGACGACGATGATGATGATGATGATGAGGATGAAGGGCCATGAGTGTTCAGGCCCTAGTCACGCCCGATGACTAGGGCTGGTGCGGACCCCACTTTCGAACATGGTCATCCTACTGATCGTGACCGCCCTGATCAGCGACTTCCAGGAGTACCGGAACCTTGCTCGCCTTTTTCCGGAACTCCCTGCCGGTTGTCCCTACCTGGACGTGGCCACCGGCTACAAGAACCTGGACTACATCCTTTTTGTGACCTGTGTTTTTGGGTTTGTCCTCACGATCTCCCTCGATTTTTTGTACTACTTGATCTGTTCTAATACCAGGAGACAAGGTTCTTTGTGGTCAAGCTGGCCCTCCCAAGGTCTCCGCTGTGGCCTGAACACTCACCGGGGTCCCAAGTCCCCGGCCAGGGAGAGAAATCATCCTGGAGCGCTCCTTTTTGCTACTGCAGTTCTCTACAGCATGGCCTTTATGAGCACGCTCAATCCATACGCCACTCCTTGGAGGCCCGAGGGTTCTGATGCCGCCACGGGTGTCAGTGAAGCCCAAAACACTCCACACAAGCCCTCCTCAAGCTGGGCAAAGCACAGTGGCCTTGGACCCTCACATGACCGCCCTGATGTACAACCATTTTCCAAGAAGAAATCTTTTCTTCGCGCTCTCAAAAGGGCTCAACTGCATGGCATGACCTGGTACAAAGGTAAGTTGTACAGTGCTTCCATGCTTGGAACCTCACAGATCGAAACTCCACCACGGGCCCTCACCCCAGAGAAGCCTACAGGTCCTGCACCATCAGGCAACAAGCTCAAAGCCAATCGACTCAGTGGTTTCAACTGGAACATTGGAGCTCTAAGCAACTACAAGCTGGATATTCTCAAAGCATGGATGATCCCTCAACCCCTCTCCGTTCTCACGATCCAAGACACCAGGTGGGGGTTCACTCCAATGACTGGGCTGGTTGGGCTGGTGGAGTCCTCACTTTAGTGAGGCGCTCCTTTTGCCCTCAGGAGCGGATCAGCTGGAGAGAAGTGAAGCAGGGTCGAATGCTACATGTCAGGCTCTACATGTCATTCACATCCATTGACATCCTGAACGTCTATCTGTTGGGTTGAGTGACTTCTCAATGAAACCCGGACGCATCGTGGTCCACGACATCCCGACTCTGGTACGTTCAGAGACCTGATTCAACGACATGGACTCACGGCCCTCAACGCGTGGGACACCAAGCTGGGTCCGACGTTTCTGGGCAACAGAGGGTCTGCATCCAGAATTGACTACATCCTGGTCCGGCACAAGACCAGTGACTCTTTAGCCAAACATCCGATCTACCTGGACCAGCTTCCTCTTCGATTTGGTCACACCAAAGATCACATTCCCATCATGTTCAACCAAGGGCTCTTCAGCGTCTCTCCTCTCACACGGGAGTGCCCCCTCACATTGCTCCTAGCTTTGTTTGGAAGGCACTGGCAGCAGACCTTGGTCCTCTTTTCATGAGGTGTTCACACTGGCTATCGAATGGTCTGATCCCTGCGGAATGGCGTCGAGGCTGGGTGGTTTTACTACCGAAGCCAAACAAGTCTCCAACAGAGCCAAAAGCTTTGCGACCGACTGCACTTCAAACTCCGCTTTCGAAAACCATCGTGGCTCTCATGGTGCAACACGCCAAGCACTTTGCTCTTCCTGAGTTAGTTTGGTACCCGCAGTTTGCCTATCTTCCTGGCCGTGGTACATGGGAAGCAATTACAAGAGTCACCGCTCATGTTCGTGAGGTTCAAACCCTGCTGGCTCACTGGAAATATGATGCCAATGCTCCAGTGAATGACCGGGCATCACGTCCCAAGGTGTACGGAGGCTGTCAACTTTTTCTTGACCTCACCGGAGCCTTCGAGGCAACGCCTCGAGAACACCTCTGGGATGCTTTCAGACTACTCAAGCTTCCTGAAGACATCATTTTGTTGCTTCTCACTTGGCACACCGAAACAGCTTACATTGTCCAATGGAAAGGTCTGGAAGCAGAACAGGCTACTTTCAGAGGCATCTGTCAAGGATGCCGTGGTGCGCCCTTTTTCTGGGCTTGTTTCATTGCCTTGATCCTTGACCATGTGGCCGCAGAAACGGATGTTCACTGGATGAGGAACAACTGCACTTTTTATTTTATGCTGATGATGGTCACGCATGCTTTGTGTTTCAAAACTGGGATGAACTTCACAGAGGACTCACCTTCTTTGGACGACTCATCAACATTTTGGAACGACTGGGTATGAAGGTGAACATGACCAAATCAGCGGCAATCATCCAATGGCGCGGTCCAGCTCGGTCACAAGCCAACAAGGCTTTTGTGAAACTGTCTCAACGTGGGACAATGCTCCAAATTCCAAAAGAGCACACCACTCAGTACGAGATTCCCTGGAGAGAGCAACAAGATTACCTTGGGATTTCTGTTGGATACAAGCAAATGCTGCGGGGAACAATGCAGAAGAGACTGAAAGCATGCAGCATGTACTCACAGACATCGCCAGATGAAACCATGGTTTTGCAACTCATCAATTCACGTGGCTCAGAAGCTGTCCTTGTGGGAAACGTGTGTTCTTCCCATTGCCTTATATGGACTGGATTCCACTGGAGTTGATCACGTCACACTTCGGCAGTTCTCGAAGACAATTCTTCCTCAACTTCGACAAGTGATGAGAGACCATCAATTCATCTCACATACTAAACATGCAGACTTTCTCACTGGATACAATCTCAGACATCCAGTTGTTTTGCTACGGGACCGCATGGCAGTGCAATTATCCCGGCACGAGGCCAGACTCGACACACTTGCACTCGATGATGTTGTTCGAGAAATTGACGCAACAGGATTGCAGATCTCTCTTCATCTCACCAATATCTGGCTGCAGGACCTGGATGTCATGACCTCGCTCCATCTCTCCCCTTAGCGGAGGCTGGACTAGATTGCCCGAGATGTGGCTTGACATGTCGTCCACTCACATGGAATTGTTCCGACAGCTGGTCCAACATTGGACATTGCTAGAGATTCAGTCAATGGCAAGCCAGTATGCCGGCACTGTGGGGATTCGTTCATCTCGCGGTAGAACCTGACACATCACACCCAGAACTATGCATGTCCCAGCTTTGATTCATCTAAGGCACCGCCAGAGCAACTCCAAGCACATCGATGTCAGCTCCTGGCCTACCATGATCCAGGAGAACTTCAACCACTTCGACAGGACAGGGAGCTTTGCTACTTTCTTTCTCAAAGATGCATCCTATGTGGCTTCTGGTCAGCGCGCCTTCAACAGATGTCTGCCCACATGGGGAGAGATCATCCTGAGGCCAACAATTTGATGAGTGAAGTACTTCCCAACGTGACTAGAGCCAGAATGCCATCTCCCTGTGAACTATGTGGTCAGGAGT